AGGTCCATTGACAACTAAAAATAATATAATAATAATAGAAATGGAAGTCCCAGTGGGGCACAGTGGTGCACACATGCAATCCCAAAGATCCGAGGATCACAGCCTGGGCAAATTAGCAAGACCCTGTCTGAAAATAAAACATTTTTAAAAGGGCTAGAATACAGAATGCTCTGGGTTCAAACCCTCCCCCCAGAAAAAGTAGAAGTCTCATTACATTACATTCAACATTAATACCAGCATTGATATTAACCAATTATATAAAATGCATTTATATAGAAATGCTTAAGAATAATTAACCACCAGTAGACACAGTGTGCACACCTGTAACCCCAGCAGTTTGGGAGGTTGAAGCAGGAGGATCACAAATTTGAGGCCAGCCTTAACAAATTAGTGAGGGCCTAAGCAACTTAGTGAGATCATATCTCAAAAAATAAATAAATAAATAAAAAGGCCTGTGGATATAGGTCAATAGTAAAGTGCCTATGGGGAATATCCACCACCTCCCCTGCAAAAAGAGTAATTAACTACCTTACAAAAAAAGAATATTATGAAGACTTTAAAAAATCAAATTAGGTATAGTGTCTCAGACCTATTATCCCAGCAATTTAGGGGGCTGAGGCAGGAGATCATAAGTTTGAGGCCAGCCTCAGCAACTTAGTGAGTCCCTGTGTCAAAACAAAAAATATAGCTCAGTTGGTAGAGTGCTTGCCTTGCATGCACAGGGCCCTGGGTTCAATCCCCAGCACCACAAAAAGAAAAGTCCTAGGGATGTGGCTGTGTAGTAAAGTACCCTCAGTTCAATTCCTAGTACCCATAATCAGGAACCAGTAAGAGCTGGGGATGTGGCTCATGCACTAGTCTAGGACAGGCTCTGGGATGGATTCTCAGCACAAAAACAATATCTGGTCATTTAGTAAACAAGGAAACTGAGTCAATATAAAATTCATTGATCAGCCTGACACAATGGCACACATGTTATAATCCCAGCAAATCAGGAGGCTGAGGCAAGAGGATCATAGGCTTGAGGCCACCCTGGACAGCTTAGTGAGACCATGTCTCAAATAAAAATGGTTAAGCATTCTTGGGTTCAATTCCCAATACAAAAAAATAAAAAACTCAGTTCAATTTAAGTTCTCCAAAATCATGACTCCTTTCTTTTCCTTAGAATTTCATCATCCAACATCTGAATAAAGATTTTGAGTATTATACGGGGATGACTGATCTAGAGGGTCACAGGCATTAGCAATGGGTTGATCAGACACCTTACAACAAAAATGCCACGTTGAGTACAGAATTAGATAAAGAATTCCTGAATCAAGGGTCATACAGGGGAACAGTTTTCAGAGGAAATATCAGAGACTCAGGTGAAGGAGGACTACATGAAGATTTAAAAAATACTGTAGGAGACAGATGAGGCAAGACACCGAAGACGGCAGTAAACAGTTTTATTTGGCTGCAGCCAAGTTCAGAGAGTACAGCTTTCACTGTAATCAATTAATCTCCCTGAACCCCCAGTTCAAGCAGTTTCAGAACTTTGTACCCAGTATGTAGGGAGAGGTGCTCAGAAATCCAGTCTGCAGAAGCTGACACAAAAACAGCTTTTTCTTTCCCTGTTCTGGGCAAGGACAGAGCCTGAGAAGGGAAAGGCTTCTTCTCCCCCTTTTTTCCCTCCCCCTGCCAACAGTTACCATGGAGCCCAATTAGTAACCTCTACTCTGAAGCTCCAGTTCAAAGCCAGGGGCCTAATTAAAAGAATGTTTTTCTTAGCACACTCTGCATTTGCAAGCACACTTCTACAAATTATTATGTTATTTATATTAAGTCCATAAATGTGTGTGAAAAACTAGTAAAGGGGCCTTCAGCACCTTGAGTGCTAATCTCTTCAAGGCCAAGTGAGGTAGAGTAACAGGAAATAAGTAGTTGAACTACATTGAACTCTTCTGTAGAAATTCTTGTACTGATAGTTCTAAGATCAGTTTTGGTGAAGAATTCTGGAGAAGCTTAATTAAGATTTCCCGTGGAAGACGGGGTGCCACTACAATACAGAAAAGTGGGGAAAGAATATTTTGGGTTCATGTTGACTTTAACTTCGACACTTTTCAATTCTACCCTCCTCAATATTTAAACTTAAAAAAAAAAAAAACACTATTTAAAGAATGTCCTCATCCTTTTTCTCCCTTTTAGATTCTGGCATGCAGGGGAACCTAATGATCCTAACAAGCAAGTCTTGTGTTATAGTAAATTTTCATTCCAAAACGGAAAAATGGGGTTGGAATGGTATTCACTGTGATTTACCTCAGAAGGCAATTTGCAAGATGATGAAGATCTACTTATGAATGGGACATTTTCCATGGAAATGTTCTGAGATTGGCAACCACCATTACAAATAGCTAATTAATGCTTTGTGAATGTATAACTTTGAAAAAGGAGAGCCCTTAAAAATTTTCAGTAAGCTGTTATTGATTCCAATTTGAAAAACAAAAAACAATCACTTCACACATTCATCCATAAAATCAGTGCCAAGTACTCAGTGATACAGTACTTATTTACCTGCCCAACACACATGAGGTCCTGGCTTAGATCCCAGTATCATAAATAGCAAATGAATGCTTTTTTGAGCATTTTCCATATGCCCGAGACTACTAAAGGGCTCTTCTGCATACAAAAAAAGGAAAGCAGGGAGCCTCCTTTCCCAATACCCCTATCCCACATTGGGGATTAAACATTTATTGTACTCTTCCACTGAGCAACATCCCAGTCCTTTTTTGAATTAGAGACAGGGTTTCAATAAATGGCCAGATTGGCCTCCAGTGTGTAATCCTCTGGTCTCCCAGGTGACTGGGATTGTAGGCCTGGGCCGCGGTACCCAACTTAAACTTTTAAATTTTTTTTTTAAGATGTTGATGGACCTTTATTTTGTTCATTTATTTATATGAGGTGCTGAGAATCCATCCCAGAGCCTCACACATGCTAGGCAAGTTCTCTGCCCCTGAACCACAACCCAAGCCCCCCCAACTTAGATTTTCTATCACTCTGAACACATGTCAGCTGGAGGAAAAAGGGCAAACTATTTTTATCCCCAAAAGAATGTCAGATCTATGCACGTGTCATTTAAAAAAAAAAAGTTAAATACCATTGGATGACATTGCCTCTTGGGATATTTCATTATCATAGATTCTCAATTTGCTCCTTTGATATGCAAAATGTATTTGGTTTTTACCCCTGTGCCCTGCAATTCCTGACAAAGTAGCCCCCCCTTACTCACAGGGGATACATTCCAAAACCCCCACAGAAACGCTGGGGTGGTACTGAACTTTACATAAACTTTATGATAGGTATATATGTATAGGGATAAAAGTATAATTTATATATTTGGCAAAGTGAGATTAGTAGTAGCTAATCAAATATAACAATTTTCCATAATATTATTTCTTAATGTTTATTTCTATAATTTTTCCGTTTAAAATTTTCAGACTGACATTGATGTGGATAACTAAAGCCATAGCACATAAGCGACAACCTGAAGTCCAAGTAATACCTTTGGTATTATAGTTTAACTGGAGACTGGGGACTCCTAGCTTCAGAATGAAAGACTGGTTACCTAGGGGAATCAAGTGATAGATTACTGAAACTTTTAGTCCCACCCTTCTGGTAACCTTTGGTGAGGAGAAAGGCCGATAAGCCAATGGTCAATGAAGTAATCATACCTATGTAATGAACTCCCATAAAAATCCAAAAGGACTAAATTCTGAGGATTTCCAATAGCAGAATAAAACAGTTTTCTGGAGAGTGTTGTGTCCCTTCATACCTTGCCCTATGCACCTCCTCCAGCGGATCCTCAAGTGCTTCCCCAAGTTCTGTGAGCTGCTCTAGCAAATTCATTGAACCCCAGGAGAGAGATGCAGGAACATTTATTTACAGCTGGCCAGGCAGAAGCATAGGCTATAACCCAGGCTTGATTGGCATCTGAAGTGGAGTTTTATGGGACTAAGCCCTCAATTTGTAGAATCTGAGGCAATCTCCATGTAGGCATTTTCAAAAATTAACTATATTAGGACTCCCAGCTGACAGCAGCTACAGAATTATCTGACATGAGAGGGAAACCTCTCTGCACCTATCAGCAATTTCCAAAACTCCCACTTCCCTTTTAGCTCCTTTCATTTTGAGATTTCTTTCAGGAAGTGAATTCATGCAAATACCTATGCTCTTTATCCACACCTTACTCAAAGTTCCTTCCAGTGAATAATATCACAAAATATTACCAGATATTTACACTCTAGAAATGTGAGATTAAATTGTTCATTCACTATATAGCAAAACACTGAGTTAGGGTTGGAGCTCAGTGGTAGAGTGCTCACCTAGCATGTGTGAGTGAGGCACTGGGTTTGTGTCGACCGAAAAATAAAAAAATATTAAAAATTCTCTCTTAAAAAAAACTTTTCTAAAGTATAAAACCAGGAATAAGAATTTGTATAAAATACTCAAATTGATCAATAAGTTCCTCTATATATACATTTATTTGCTACTGAAAATTAAAACAGCACATCAAAATTTCTTTTTATTGCAACTCAAATTTTTGAAAACCTGAAAATCTAATTATCTACTCTAATTATTACACTCTAATCAAACTATCCAATATTCTCTTTACATCTCTTCCAGTTCCTGAGTTTTATTTCAGATTTCAGGCTTTTAAAATCTCCAGGAAGACTTGAGACCTATTGGTACTTCTTTGAGTCAAACAGAAAAGTAAAACTAAAGTATATTGAAATCATTTATGCACATTTTAACTGCTCAGATTCCTTATAAATTACTGGCATTAAGGCATGAAGGGATCCCTAACACCAAAAAAAAAAAAAAAGGATGCAAAAGAATAAAGACATCACAGAACTCATACATAAGCTATTCAAAATCATTGGTATGCAGTCTAAGCATAGAAAAGTGTGCCTAAAATTACCATCATGAAGAACAAGTACAATTTACGCCTATATTGACTCTGTGTCCTAATCATACCCTATTCTAGCATTCTCAGAAGGATCCCATCCATGATATACGCAAAAACTGCAGGTACATTTGAATGGTACACTTCGTGATTCACTCTGAAAGAAATAATGAAATTAGATTAATCGTATTATACCTCAAAGAAGTATAAAAAACTCTCAAATCTATTGTTTATAAAGTTAGCCTTTGACCAAGTGCAATCTAATTTCAACAACTAGGGAGACTGTCAGGAAGACCATATTTACTAGACCAGCCTAGCAACTTAGGGAGATCCCATCTGAAAATAAAAACAGTGGTAGAGTGTGTATGGGTTCAATCCCTAGTACTGGGCACTGGGGGGGAAAAAAAAAAACCAAAAAACAACTTAGGGGTATAAAAAAGAGGAATGAAACATATGGGTACCATGCCAGCTTGTGGGTCATTTTATAATGACAACAGATGCAGACTTGTTAGTAAAAAACTATTTCAGTCTTAATTCTCTGAATTCCTTGTATGTAACTCACTCTGGACACTAGGTTTAGGAGTTTGTCTTAGGTACCATTACGAAGATCATGTTTATGAAGCACTTGTAAGTACAAACATAACAGAGTGAACCCTAATGTCAAATATGCACTGGGTGATGTGTCAATTCTGTTGTTGATGGTTGGGGAGGCTATGTGTGAGGTGGTATACATCTCTTTCAGGAAGTGAATTCATGCAAATATCTATGCTCTTTATCCACACCTTATTCTGAAAGGGGTATACTGAAACTCTACTTGCTGCTCAATTTTGCAGTGAACTTAAAACCATTCTAAAAAATAAAAACTCAGGTTCAATTCCCAGCATCAAATAAACAACTATAAACATGGACCGATTTCTCCAGAATTCCTGGGGATTCAGAACTTTCAAGCCAGCCAGGCATGGTGGCACAGGCCTGTAATCCCAGTGGCTTGGGAGGCTGAGGCAGGAGGATCTCCAAATTCAAAGCCAGCCTCAGCAATTAAGCAAGGCCCTAAGCAACTTAGTGAGACCCTGTCTCAAGGCTGGGGATGTGGCTCAGTGGTCAAGTGCCCCTGGGTTCAATCCCTGGTACAAAACAAACAAACAAACAAACAAACAAACAAACAAAAAACCTTCAAGCCAATTCCCCCTTCTCCAAACAAAAATCCAAACCAAACCATATACCCTACCCACACTTACAGCAAAGAAAAAAAAAAAATTACCTGAACTTCCTTAAGATTGTCCTCTCTTTCTTGTTTTTGAAGCTTCATGGAAAGAAAAAAAATATATTTTTATTTAAAACTAAGAAAAAGTTACAACCAGGCATGGTGGCACACACCTATAATCCCAGGGACTCAGAAGGTTGAGGCCCTAAGCAGCTTAGCAAGGCTCTACCCCAAAAAATAAAAATAAAAAAGGCTAAGGATACATGGTTCGGTGGTTAAGCGCTCCTGGGTTTACAAAACAAGTTACATACCCACTAAAAGAGAAATGGGGGAGCCTTAAAGATGTAAGTTATCCAGCCTGAGTACTGCCACTTAGCACTGCTGACATCTTAATGTATACATCATCCTGGGATGGCAGTGCCATCTGCCCAGAAGATCCAATAGCCCTACCCATATCACAAACTCATCTGGGAAAATCTTACACTTAGGAGATATCTCCATTTTTCCACAAGCTCTTTCCGTGCAGATAACAATGTCCGGACTCCTCGCCGCCTGTTGGGAAAGCCCTTTCTGACCTCCCGTAAGACCCTCTCACTCCTGTCCAGTGGTTGGCGTGGACCTTCTGGCAGAGGGGACGGCCATTTAGCACAAGGATTCAGAGTCAAGTCATGAAGTTTCTTTACTAGCATTTCTGAACTGACCGGATGAGAGTCCACTGAAAGAGAAAGAAGGTAAGATTCATTAGTTTGACTTGCATCATTGATAAGTCACTACTCCACAATCAAACTAGGTCTGGATTGTGTGTATGGGTGCACACACGCTTGTACATTACAGGGAACTGAACCCAAGAACACTCTAACACTGCGCCACATCCCCAGCCCTTTATTTTTTATTTTAAGACAGGGTCTCAATTGTCCAGGCTGGTCTCAATATTGAAATCTTCCTGCCGGGGTCTCCTGCTAGGTCTGCTTTTAAAGCAGACGGGAGTAATGCACTAGTATAGGAAGTTGCTCAGGATGGAAGATGACAGGAAACAATGCAAAGTCCCAGTCTTCTCAGGGTGTAATCCCAGAGGCTGTGACAGGAAGATAACTCACTAAGATCAAGGCCAGTCTTGGCAACTTAAGATCCTGACTCAAAAAAAAAAGTGTAGCTGAGTGGTAGAGGGACCCTGAGTTCAATACCCAGAACCCCTACCCCAAAAGAGGCAAGGCAGAACTAAATTTCTTTGCACAGGGACAGATGGTAATAAACCCCTGGTTTCTGATTTGTGGGGGGTGGGGTACTAGGATTGAACCTATAGGTACTCTAGCATTTAACTACACCCCCAGCCCTCCTTTTTTTTTTTTTTTTTTTTTTTTGTTTGTTTGTTTTTTAACATTTTGAGACAAGAGTCTTCCTAAGTTGCCTAGACTGTCCTTAAACTTGGGAACCTTCTGCCACAAAACAAAACTCAGAAAAATAGGAGTCAAAAGAAGCCCACCTTGTGTATGTCAGGCACTGAGGCAGATTCATGAAGAGGGAGAGACCGGGGATATTATACAGATTATTCTGTTTCTCTATTTTTGTTTTCCACTCGGTTCTGACTACCGGGACTCCTAGTAAGTCAAAGAGGCAGACAGGCTCCGCAAGGCAGAGAGGAAGGCTGTCAGTGCCGGCCGCTCCCGGACTCAAGCTAATTGCCCTGTGGGTAGTTTGGGGTATTGGCCTAGGGCAGCTTGGCCTGTGGGGTAGGGCGGGTAGAGGGCGTTGTAGGTGCCCTGGAGCCAAGACCAGGTGCGGACAAAAGTGGAATCCCTCCACCGGAAGAGGCCCGGGAGCCCGGACCTCCTTATCAGTATTCCTGAAGCAATTTGAGAAAGCAACCCGGGGTCTCCTCCTACCACCAATTTACATCACGCAGAACATTCACCAGGTTTTGTAAATCCGCCCCTTTCCTTTTATTTTCCCTAGAAGAGCCATTTGATTGTTATTAACATTCTTCCCCCCCACCCAGTGTACAATTACTGTTTTTATTATATTCTGTTATTAACATTCTTAAAGGGGAAATTTAGATGGAAAGCCATTCCTGAGAAAGTTGGTGAGAAAAAGATCAGGTTAAAGTGAAACGTGAGTTTCCTATGTTTGTTATTTTCTACCGTTCCTGACATGAATTGCTGAGGAAGAAAATATTGATCCTACACCTCCCCCATAAACTGCGTCCTAGGCCCGGAGTGGTAGGCTAAGCTTGGGAGGCTGAGGCAGGAGGATCACGATTTCAAACCGTGCCTCAGCAATTTAGTGAGACTGTCTTAAAAAAAAAAAAAAAGCTGAGGATGTGGCTCAGTGGTAAAGCGCCCCTGGGTTCAATCCCTGGTATCAAAAGTAATAAAAAAGTTTTAAGATAAACTACGTCCTGGAAACATTCTTTATTCCAGAAACTGGACTTAAAAGTCTGGTTTTTCGAATTTCAGTGGCTCAAAAGCCTGAAGGTTGAGACGGGAGGATGGCAAGTTCCGGAGCATTTTGGTAATACCTTGAATCAAAATTTAAATATAAAGACTGCCAGTGCTGGGTTGCACGCCTGTAATCCCAACGACGACGGAGGTTTCGGCAGGAGGATTGCAAGTTGGAGACCAACATCCATAATTTAATGAGGCCCTAATCAATTTAGCGAGACCGTGTCTCAAAAATAAAAAATAAAATAAAAATTTAAAAGGCTCGGGATCTAGCTTAATGGTAAAGCGCCCCTGGGTTCAAACCGCCCCCCCCCCCAGTACTAAATAAATAATAAAGAGGGCTGGGATGGCGCTCAATTGAAGAACATGTAGAGCACCCTTATGTTCAATCTCCCCAGTACCGGGGGTAGGGAGGGAGTAGGGAGGAGGAGAAGTCTAAAGATTTCTTAAATATAGTGAACATAAATACTCAATTCTCCTTCCACTTCCCTCTTTTTGTTCCTTTTTGAACTCCATTTTTTCTCAGCAAAGGAAAGTATGCACCCAGCCTTCCTCTCCTTTGAGATTTACTTAACTTGGAATACCTTTTGGAAAGACTTAATATAAGAAATGAAGAAAGGCTTTTGACTGCCCAAAACCCTTGCTCTCAAGAAGGTCATTGACTTACCTGAATTTTCTTCATTTTCAGACATCGGAAAAGACTCCTGGGTCGAGGTTGGGTTAAATTTTTGCAATGGATCCATTGGGAGGTGAGCAAACCCTCAAAAAAGTTGCTCCCTCTGTTGCTTGGGAGGAAAAAAAAAAAAACTGTAGCCCTGAGACTAAAACTTCAAACTTCATCAGCTGGTGAGGACAGTGGAGCCAATCTGAAAATTCAGGTCTGGTTTCCTTTTAAATTACAGATAGGTCAATCTTCCAGGCTATTTTAATGTTAATGATTCAATGGTTAAAGGATTCACGTGAGTTAAAGTGGGCGTAGTTTGAACTGATAGGATAATTCTTCATTCCCTCTGCATTAAAATAATCACACCCTAGGGTAAATCTGTTGGAAACTGTGTGTATGCTTGACTAAATCATCCCGAAATTGCCTCAAATATAACTTTTTTGTTTGGTTTTGTTTCCAAACTCTACTCCAGGGGATCAGTACTGATTTGTGAACTGGATTTAAAAGTTCTAGAAGAGAAACTGGCAGGTTTCTCTCCAACTGTTTTCTTTAAAAAAAAAAAAAAAAAAAAAGTTTTCTTAAAGTTTTTCTTGCCTTATTCATTTTAAATCTTAGAAATTTCACCCTAACTTCTACTAAGAAGAAAAATAAACAAGTATCTGTTATAAACACTTTACTACCTTGATATTTTATTGACATGTATGTTTTTAGGCACGTATTTTTAATCTATAATCTTTGTTTTGTAGACTGTAAATTGCAGTTAACATTTCTGAGCAACTAAAATTAATTTTATAAGATTCTACTCTCTGCCCACACACACAAAAAAAATACTTGGATTGAGTTCTGGCAAAGTATCAAAATTGATCACTGATTACAGGTGGTGGGAGACCAAGCCCCCAGTTTTCTTCTCATTTTCTTTCGTTCAATGTGCACCCTTCTCCATTTCCTGTTTAGCTGGAAATGATGGGGAAAAAATATGAAAAACCTTGTTTTTGGTAAAAAGCAAAAGTTGAAGTTATATGATCAAGAACATTTCTGGATGGGTGAGTAGCTACAGACGGAGCATAGAGTTGGATACTTTGTCTTCTGGATTTGAAGAATGAAATCCACTGACATAAAGGTAAGAGTAAAGTAACAGATTTATTAGAGTAATAGAAAGCAAGAAAGCAGAGCTCCTAAAAGGGAGGGGTCCCAAGAAAGGGATACCAGAGAGTGGCTAATGCGTAGGTTCATATCAATCTACAGAATTAAGGGAGCTAGACTCTCACCCAGTCCTGGGTAAGGCACTCAGTATTCAGGAATGTTTTATGCATTCTTTGGTCCATTCAAGTTACTGTGCCCCCTTTTTTGCTTGGGGGTCCAAGTACAAGACAGCAGATGTTTCACTATCAATTTTTTCTGCTTTAATGGGAGTCAGCCTGACCCTTGATGAGGCCAGGCATTTATCTAGAGTTTCTTAGCCCTGCTGAATAGAAATCTGGCCTAAGGAGCCCAACTTTCCTGCCTGTCCATTTTAACCCTTTCTCCTACCTCAGTTACTTTATTTGTTGGACTGGAGAATGAATTTAGGGGTACTTTACCACTGAGCTATATCCACAGCCCTTTTTTTTTTTCCTTTTGAGACAGTGTCTCACATTGCAGAGGCTAGTCAGACTCCTGTCTCAGTCAGTCTCGTGCACTGCTGGGATTTTAGGTGGGCACTATTGCGCTGGGCCACAACACTTTATTGAAGTGGTTCTCAACTGTGTGGTCTTGAGACAGTATCAACAGCACCTGGTTAACTTGTTTGATATGCAGATTCTTTTCTTTCTTTCTTTTGATTGGAAGGGATTGAACCCAGGGGCACTTAACCACTGGGTTCATCCCCAATGCTGCGTTTTTGTTTTACTCCCCCCTTCTCCCCCCACAGGAACTCACTCAGTTGCTTAGGGATTCACTAAATTGCTGAGGATGATAAAGAAAAAATAAATTATGGCATTTGCAGGAAAATGGATGGAACTAGAGATCACCATGTTTGGTGAATTAAGTCAAACTCAGTTGATCAAGGTGTATATTTTGTCTCATGTGTAGAAGCTAGAGAAGAAAAAGGAAAATAAAGTTGGGGATGGATCTCAGTAGAGGAAAGGGAACTAGGAGTGGGAAGTGAGGAGGAAGAGGGGAATTGCTGAGGAATGATTGGCCAAATCCTATGGTTATATTGTGTGTATGTATGAGTATGTAACACCAAACTCCATCAATTATGTACAACTATAATATGCCAATAAAAAAAGCAAGGAAAAAAAAGAAATAAAATCTTACCCCAAATATAGGAAAATACTTTTTAAAAGCAACTAAGACATTCAGGGAAATCATTGAAATCTAATGTTTTATATTTGACACAATATAATTATTACTAGTTTTTTCTATAAAATATTATATATGCTTACATGTCAAATAAAATGTTTAATTTTCATTCAATGTAGTTTGTTTGAAAACAGTAATATATTTGGTATTATGTCCAGTCCATAATAAAATCTTCACGTTTTTGAATGTATGAATAAATCAACTATGTTTTTTAATAATTTTTTTTGAGAGAGAGTGAGTTTTTTTAATATTTATTTTTCAGTTTTCCTCAGACACAACATCTTTTTGTATGTAGTGTTGAGGATCGAACCCGGCCGCACGCATGCCAGGTGAGCATGCTACCGCTTGAGACACATCCCCAGGCCCGAATAAATCAAATATTAAAAAAAAAAAAGGGTGGTGCTGGGGTTATGGCTCAGTGATAGAGCGCTTGCCTAGCACGTTTGAGGCCCTGGGTTCGATCCTCAGCACCACATAAAAATAAATAATAAAGATATTGTGCTCAACTATAAAATAAACATAAAAAAAGGAAATAGCTGAGCTGGTTTTGAATTTTCCATCCTCCTGCCTCAGCCTCCCCAGTCATTGGGATCACTGGTGTGTGCCATCAGCCCTGCTGATATGCAAATTCTTAAACTCTAACCCAGATGCACTGAATGAAAGACTGTGGTTCAGCCTTCAGCATTTTAACTAGCCTCCTAGCTGATCCTGCTAAGGTTTAAGCTGCACTGCTTTACAGTATTGTGAATTTTGTACCTGTTATTCTACTCTCATCTTTCCTCCCTCTTGTTCTGAGACCCTCCCTATATCAGGGTCTGAGAATTCCAGGGGAGAAGTAAGAGCAAAAATCCAATTGCAGGAGGTTTAGAATTATGAGGCAAGACAGCAAAAATGGCTGAAGTTGACTCTTATTCTCCCCGCTGGGAATGTAGTTCAATGGTAGAACACTTACTGTGTGTGAGTCTCTGGATTCCTTCCCCAACATGCCAAAAAAAAAAAGAACAAGTTTTGTCCTGATGGAACATGCATTTGTTGTCTACGCACAACAAATCTTTCATCCAGAACATAGGGGCAAGTAGTGATGAGTATTGCAGAGAGATAAACCCTGGTAGGTGGGAGAGGGGGGCAAATATTTTGAAAATTTTACCGAGACACACAGCTAATGAATTACTAACATGCCCCCCATTGCTTTCCAAGGAAGGTTATTGGGATGGTGAACCTGGTGGCCTGGGTCTCTTGTCTCTCTCCTCCTTCCCCCTTTGTGTGAACACAGCCCCCATGTAATAGTGTCCACTTTATGCTTTGAGTATAGTCCATGCTGCTCTGCCACTGTGACTTATTTTTAAAACAGGCACGTTTCTCTTCCTCTCTCCCTCCTCCTCCCTGATCTCTCCCCTGACTAATCTCAGAGAAAATAGGATTGCCTTTCTTCCCCATCCCAGGCAATGTTATCTGTTCTTGAGAACAGATAACACACCACCACAGGAACAAAGTAAACCAGACTTTGGGGATGGCCCCTGAAGACCTCAGAAGTGACTGTCTCCCAAATTAATAATAAATTAAACTCCAGAGAGAAGAGGTGGGATGTAGCCTTTGAATCACCTCCTTAAAAGTCCCCCTGTTCCTCTTGCTGGGCAGAAAGCTCAGGAGTCCCCTGTACTTTTCCTTTGCTAGCAAAGCAATACATTTTTTTTCTTTCTCTCAAAACTGTGTCCTCGTTGTTGGATTGGCATGGGTGACAGGACTGAGCTTTTGGTAACACACACACCCACGGACTGCCTTAGCACTCATTCTCAATGCCCCTCCTCCACAATCCACTCCTGCATAGTGCTGTTTGAACCAAGTGGATTTGAATAGGCTGAGATTGGCCTCCAACTTCCCATACTCAGCATCCTGAGTCACTGGGATTACAGGCCTGTGCAACTGCACCAGTTGATAATGTCTTAATTTTTGAAATTCCACATGAAAAATATTAATCCTAGGGGGTAAAATCCTGCCTCTTGTTATTATCACCTCCAATCCCCCAACCCAACCCCAACTTGGAAATCAAACCCAGGGCCTCCTGCATTCTAAGCAAGCATTATATCTCTGAGCTTTATCCCCAAACCTCTTATAATATAATAGCTTAGTACAAAACATTTAGGGACCCTATACTATATCACAGCCCACTAAAGAGGCGTGTGCTGGACGGAGTAGGGGTTCTGATCAGAAGACAGAAGTATAAACCTGGCATGGTGGTGCATGCCTATAATCCCTGCAGTTCAAGAGGCTGAAGCAGGAAAGCACAGGTTCAAACCCAGCCTCAACAATTTAGGGAGCCACTAAGCCATTTAGCAAGAACTTGTCTCAAAATTAAAAATAAAAAGGGCTGAGGATATGGTTCAGTTGTTAAGTGCCTGAGTTCAATTGCCTATAATCCTAGCAATTTGGGAACTTGAGGCAGGTGGGTGGCATTGAGAGGAGATAGAAATGTTAGGCAAACAGGATCAAGGGTGTACCCCACACCCCCAGCAGTTAACAAATGGAGTAGACAGATCAGGACCAGTGACCCCACTGGAGACTGAAAGTATGCAACAGAAACTTGAGCCAATTCCTGAGTGAAAGGGTGTGATCAATATCCTTATTGGTCAGGGGCACATAAATACCAGGAGCCCTGATGTGACTGGACTCAAAAAACCACTTTTT